GTGGTGGGGGGTGGGAGTGGGGGCACTGATTGGTGGGCCTGATGGATAGAGCTTCATCAGAGCTAAACAACAAATAAAATCTGAAGCTCATGTGTTTAATAGTTTTTGAGCAATAACACTTTTTGTACGTTGAGATACCCCTTTTTCAGATAAATTGGGGGTCTGGGGGGGCACTGATGATGGGCCTGGTGGATAGAGCACCATCAGAGCTAAACAACAAAAGAAATCTGAAGCTCCTATGTTGAACAGTTTCTGAGTTATAAGCTTTTTTGCATGTTCTGACATCCCCTCTTTGAAAAGAACCCCCTCCTCAAATATGAGGTCTATCGTAAAACCGTTGGCTGGTGCAGTGTAGGTCAGACTCACCTACAGTCCTGCCAAATTTCGTGTTGATTGGTGCAGCCGTTTTTGTGCTACGGTTGACCAAAAACCACTGAAAAAAAAAAAATAAACAGTACGAAAACAATATGACCCCCGCTCACACTTCACGTGCGGGGTTCATAATAAGTTGATGTAAGTGAAATTAGTCCTATTTGTGTCTGTGTGGTTGTGTGCCACATGTGGTTTTGCTTTATGCCTTATTATTATCATTGGTACCTTAAAGCAAAACAGAAGCTGCAACAATATACTGTAAATAAAGCGTAAAATACATTTGTTAAGCTTGTTTTGGTAAATCAAAGCTCAACATTTCAGCATGTGTCTGTGTGTTGGTTATAAGCGAAGCATCTCACTGAAACATAAACAGATAAAGTAATAAGTTGATAAAGTCTACAACAGGAAATGTAAAGTTGTAACGGCAAAGCATTTACTGACTTATCAGCACAGCATCATCCTTCCTTTTAGCAACAGGACAGGCCCACACCCTTCCTTTACTGAAGCCACAGCGGGGAAGAGAAATGGTGGCACTTTCTTTTGGTTGATTTACTGAAATCTTGACTTGTTTTGATTCATAATCTCAGAGTGCATTGAGGCTTCGTGACCTCTCTGTGTTACCTCTACCAGCCAAAACTTTTACATTTTTTAGACTTGAGTTTCGGGAAGTTCTGCATCCAAAAGAAATACATCAATAATTTATGGCAGGTGAGAGTCAGGCATCTTGTGAAACATTTTAAAATCAAATTTCCAAGAAGTTGGTTCAGATTTTGCCATGATGTAATTGCATGCAAAACAATAAATACAACAGACAGCAAAGCATAATTTACATATAAAAAGCTAAACATAAACTTGTGTTACACTCTGTTCTTTAGAAACTGAAAGATGTGCCAACAAAGCATCAGCAGCAGCAAATCTAGAACATGAAATAAACTGCAAACAACGGTCTCAACATTCTCAGACTTTCATTTTTAATCTATAAAAGAAAAATCTGTTTTTACCTGGCGTTAGCACATCTTCTCCTTAAATCGACAGCATGCAAGGAGTGAAGAATCTAAGTTAATCACTGGGGATCTCATTCTCTAGCAGATTCAAAAACAGAGTCAGGATCAACCCTTCCTCTCCTTCTCATGTAAGTGTGCATGTCAAAAGTTGCCTGTGCTGTTTGAAAAGTCAGCGTTACTCGCAGGCGATGGTGTGGTTTGACAGTGCAAGCGGAGGAGAGCCCATCTGCTGTGGGCTGCTCTCACACTGAGGGAAACAAGAGAGGAAAGGGGAAGCTCGGCCTTCTCACCGTTTTGCAGATTTTTTTTTTTAACTGAGTCCCAATAGCAACTGAGCAATAAGAAAGAACAAGAGTATGATGGAGTCAACACAGAAATGCATCTGTCTCACCTTCGAAACGGTGCGGAGCTCCAATAAGCAAGTGGTCTGTGAGCAGCGGACCTTCGCCTTTCGGTACACGGCTCTGCTGTCATATTATAAACAGCATGAATGTTGAGTCATCTTGAATTTGAAGTGGTGCAAAAACACAAGCCTGCTTCCTCTATCTGAAGCACTACTTCCTTTTAGAAAAGCTAATTAAAAAAACAACATATTTTACTCTCGTGGGGTCACGCCCAGAGAAATGAAGAGTCTCTGCATGTGGCAGGCGTGGGCAAGCATTATTTAACTTTGAAAATAGAACCTGCAGTTTGGTTTCATTTCTCTGCATTCAGCTCAACCTTTAAAAGTAGGACAGGCAAACATGCAGAACCTACTGCACGCTACAGTGTGGAAAGTCTCATGCTTTTACAGTTTTTATCGATTGCTTTGATCTGTTTGAAGAAACTAGGAACCTCTCAGTCTTCATCATCACCATCTCAGCAAAGCAGAAAACACCTCTTACAAATATGTTAACCCACTCTCATTGGATTGACACAGTTTTCCTGTCCTTTTTCAAAACTGTTAACGCAGATGTCATTCAAGAAGTCCAAACTCCGTTTTAGCTGTGGTTACAGAACAGAAACTAAATGCTCCAAGCTCTTAGAAACTCCTCAGTATGAAATCACCGAAAGCACCTGTTTGACACTTCTTCACAGAATTTTTCAATTTGCAATCAGTCTGCAGGCCTGTGTTGTTCTCTTATACTCTTATAGTTTAGGCCTACTATAGATTTTTGTTCTTTACTGTAAAAGACTGCGTTTTGTATTTACCTAATTTCTCATAGAGTAAAGGATTTATTTTTATTTCCATGTATTCTCTGTTGGAATATTTAATTTGTCAGGCACACTCTCAATAAAAGAATGTAATCAATAAAATTTGCATCAAACCATATCTGCTTCTGGATGCATTTTTTGCAAGAGGGCAAATTTGACTACAAACGGCACTGGCATGTAAGCTACGTACAGTCATAGGCTACAATGACAAGCAATGGTGCACTGATTCACACATGAGTGCTGTATTTTGTATTTTGTTGACCATTGTGTAATGATTGATTGGAGGTGCTCATACATTGTGTCAAAGTTGAATTGTTTGAAGGCAAAATTTGCTTTTGTTCCGTATTTTAAATGTTTTGGCACAGTTAGTGCCTTTTGCAAACAACATGTGTCATTTTGAGCACTGGGGCACTGTTTGGGCCTCTGCGTTAACTGTTTTGAAAATGTGGATTTTGAGTTGATGGCTGCATCCAAGCAATCAATAAAAACTAAACTAACTTCATGTGCACCAACTGGCCACTAGATGTCAGGACAGGACATCTAAACAGTAACCAGCTGACTGTTTTCTGTTTTCTCTTTTGAAAATTACACCAACCTTCTTCACATAAACCATTCAAAACACTTGCATAAATAAAAACTCCCACTCCACTTATTTCCTGTGTTTTGATCTGCAGCTGAAGCCTCCACTAACCTCAAATCCTGAAGTCTCTTTGCTGTCAAGCGTCTCTGTTGTTAGATACAGTCACTTAGAGGAAAGGCATCATTAGGTGAGTAGATTTTTTGTTTTCTGTTCATATTTTGCATACCAGGTGTTAATGTAACTTTAGGCTAGTTCAAACCAATAAGGCCCCTGCTCTTATCAGTTCTTCATCCATGTCTTTGCAAAGCCATTGAAATACTCCTGACACAACACTAGGTGGTGAGGACATCTACACAAATTAAAAGAACACTCTAAGCTTCGATATAGATTCTTATACAATGTGTTTTTCTTTCTTTCTTATGTGTTTCGACCTTAGTTATTACCCATTTCAAGGCACAATCCAAGTTTAATTGCAAAAGAATCAAGAGAAGGCAAAACAGATGTACAAACAACATCAAGTAATAACATTCCTGTGCAGAATTGGTTGAAAGGTTTCTTATTTCAGACTGCTAAGGATCAGGAAATGTTTTATTTTACAAAGGATTAAAGATCTTCAATTTGAATCAATGAGCTACTAAAAACAACTCCATTCAGCCATGTTTTTAGGACCAACTGTCCATCCATCCATCCATCCATTTTCTGTACACGCTTCTTCCTTTTCAGGGTTGCGTGGGTGCCCATATCCAGCAGTCACAGTGCGAGGGGCGGGGTACACCCTGGACAGGTCGCAAGTCCATCACAGGGCCACACATAGAGACAAACAACCATTCACTCTCTCACTCACACCTAGGAACAATTTAGAGTTATCAATTAACCTAACAGTCATGTTCTTGGTCTGTGGGAGGAAGCCGGAGTACCCAGAGAGAACCCACGCATGCACGGAGAGAACATGCAAACTCTACCCAGAAAGGTCCTCGGACCGGGATTTGAACCAGTGACCTTCTTGCTGAGAGACATCAGCTCTACCAACTGAGCCACCGTGCTGGCCACCAACTGTCCAGTTGCTTTTAAATAAAAGCTAACCAGACAATTACATGGCAGAAACCCAGTGCATTTAGACATTTAGACTCAGTAAAGACTTGCTGAAGTACAAACTGAGCAAATGAATGAAACAAAGGGCAGGATGGTTTGAGTATTTCAATAACTGTTGATCTGGGATTTTCACTCAGTCATAGGGTTTACAGAGAAATATATCCATTTGGTGATAGTTGTGTAGATGAAAATGCCTTCTTGAGGGCAGGTGTCAGGATCAACATACAGATTTTTGAAATGATAGAAAGGCAACAATAGCTAAAAAAACACTCAGTATCACCAAGGCATGCATAATACCACACTTCCACCCTGATGGGCTGCAGCAGCAGAAACCTACAGGTACCACTTATGTCAGCTAAGAACAGGAAAATTGAGGCTGTGCTTTACAAAGGCTCACCAACACTGGAAAATAAGATCTGTATCCAATTTTGCTCAGAGATTAAGCAAATGGTAAATGGACTGTACTTGTGAAGAAATTTAAAGTTAGTAGAGGTTAGAACTGATGTTAAAAGCACAACACTATATTCTTAGGTTTTCCTTTTTGTAATGTTGACAGTGTTTAATCTATTATTTTTCATTTACGTTCGCCTTTGTCTCAGAGATGTAAACAGCATCATTTGAGATATTGTGAGAGCGAGGTCTCTTCTTCAAAGAGGCAATTACCCATGATGCCTAGCGACCCCATAAATAGGCTCCCTAGCCTGGCCTTCGTCACTTTTCGTTTGAGAGAGGAGAGCAAGAGGTAAGTATTGTTGTAACGGCAACTCTGAGCCTCAGGCTCACTACAATTCAAACAATGTCCCTCATCCTGCGCACCTGCTGGGATGAGGGGGAATTATGTTTTGATTGAAATAGGTTCAGTTACATCTCCGAAACATCTGTGACAACACATAATTAATCGTTGGGATGACATTAGCTGAGGATTTTGTCTGAATGCCTGTTATTCAGCCGTAGGTCAGTAGGGGGCGAACACAGGCATTGAAGAAGGTGTTTAAATACATGAACTTCCTGTTTTTCCGGCCAGTGTTGGTTTCCTGTCTGCTTCAGCGACAATAAACCTCACTCAGATTCAGAGTTCTGGTGTTGTATGGTTTAATTCCTTCTACAAATCATTTTATTTAACAATTGTGTTTATAATATTGACTTCAGTTTGTTGAATATGAATTTTCTTACACTTGTATAAGGGCCTTTCTACCCATCCAGGATACTCAAAGCACTTCACACAACAAAATTTGTCATTTACCCATTCACACAGCACTCTACCAGATCTCCTACAAAGCTAACAAGAATAATCATCTATGGAGACTAATCGGTGCCAATCACATTCACACACTGACGGGACACACATCAGAGGCATTAGGGGTGAAGTGTCTTGCCCAAGGACACAACAACTGAGATAGCTGGAAGCGGGGATCAAACCGGTGACCTTCTGGTTCCAGGACGAGTCCCCTAACTACTCTGCCACAGCCGCCCCCCAAGTCAAGACTAAGACCAGGGTGTATCGAGACAGAGACAACATCAAGACTTTCAGGGGCTGGACTAAGATGAGCTCAAGATCGGAGACCAAGTCAAGACCAAGACCACAAAAAAAGGGAAACCAGTGCCCTAAAGCATACAGTATACCGTATACAGCTAGTTGACTGTAACTAATATTGGATAAATATCTTTGTGTGAGGGCCGGGTAAAGAATTCTGGTACAGAGGCAGATTGCTAACATCGGCAAAACCTTACCTTTCTTTGTGTTTTCTTTATAAATTAAAATACAAGTTTGACGAAGTCCTCACCATCTATGAAAGAGAAGCAATGCAGAATTTACAAGTTGCTGTATGCTTTCTCCTGGATGTTGTTTTACAATTATAAAGCCGAAATATATAACTGAAGATTTTGCAGATATCTTGTCCTGCCCCCAGACAACTAATAGTACTGGGTGCATGTGAAAGGGGTCGGGGGACAGCAGTGATAAAAATACAGATTTAACAATGAGTCACACTTGGATTTGAATCAGTATTTTTTTTACATCCAATGAATACAAGAATGTTAACAAATAAATTGGACAATATTCTGGTAATTTAGATATTTCCACAGTTGTGGTCTAGAAATAATATCCTCAGTGTCAGATAACAATCAAAAAGTGGTGTTGAGACCGATCTTAAGATGAAAACTGGTCTTGAATACTGCAGGTAAAAGACCCACATAGTAGACAGGTGTGGGACATATCTGGTGTCAAACTGGACCTGCTGGCTAAGGGTGTAACAATATGATCAGTCCACATCAATATATTAACTAAATGATTAATGACTCAATTACATCAAGGCAAAACTAAAACATTGATTTATATTGTCATCATATGCCCATTTAACACAACAGGCATATGATATTGTATCATATTGGTTGAAAGCTTGCGAAGTGAATGGATTCAAAATTGTATCCTGACACACTTTGTGATATCTACAAACATTCCACACAAATTGATATGTCGTATTGTGATAATACTTGTGATTTATACCCCTACTGCTGGCACATCAAGTGGTTTGTCAAATGGATGTGGACCAGGTCTGGCAATTATGGCACTGTTTATAAGATGGCAGGCTGCATCTGACCCAATTGTGGTTTGGTTCATAGGGTGCTAGTCCATGCATTGACCACCTCTGACAAACCACGCCTGGGCCACCATCCGTCTTTGCAGTGTCTGGGCCAAGGGTTATGTGGTGAGCATTGTGTGGTCTAGAACTGGACCAGACAAATCTAGTTAGAACCCAGTATTAAGATGTACACAATAAACTGCCTGGTGTGTGTATAATTTTATAAAGGAAAAAACTAGATGGGGTGACAAAGTGTAACAGTCACAGGTTCCTTTTTGTTAATTTCTGTAAAAATTGGCAAAGTTTAACCTAATGCTACTGATTTACTACTGAATATTTTGTCCCTTTTTGAGCTAATGTGATCAATTTTGCATCCCACTGAAAATCTGATGTCAAATTTAATGCATGTCAGCCAAAAAATATTCCACTAATTAATCCACACTTATTCACCAACTTAGCATGTTTTTATATGTGCTGACTCATTACTGTTTTAGGCTTTGTGTTGTGTAAGATGGTGATTCTGAGTAAACAGTCAGCATTTGTACTTTGGAATGTGAGCATGTTTGCTGCATGTAAGAGACTTGGAGCAGAACTGGAGTCTAATGCCAGCTTATGGCAGAGTGCCCTCATTCAGAGGCAAACAATAGACCATTGCTCAAGTCATAATAAGCATTTGGCCTGTGACACGACACACAGGCCAAGGTCCTCAAAATAAATTGGGGCTGGCTCCTGCTCTGTTGCTGTGCTCACAGAGAACACGTTGAGGAAAAGAAATGGGGCTGCAGTCGAAAAACTCCTCCACAAATTCAAAATTTGCAGTTCCGCTATCAGAGCTGCTTTTAAAGTTAAACTGTACTGTTCTGAGGACAGAAAATTATAAAAACATCCACAAAATCTATTTAAGAAAGGCACTTAGTGTCATCACACTTCAGCACTGAACTCAGTAGATCAACGTATTTATATACTTTACATAGTAACAACAAATCTGACAAGTAGTGTCATTACATTAATATCTAGTCAAATACAATGCACTGTGATCGTTTAAAATTATTATATTAAGACTTATAGTCTTAAGTTTTATAAAAATATGAAACATGTTTCAACGAGTTGGACATAAAATCTCCATTTTATGGTCAATCTACAGCAGGGGTGTCAAACTCCTGTCCTCGAGGGCCGCTATCCTGCATGTTTTAGAGGTTTTCTTGCTCCAACACACCTGATTTTGATCGCTGGGTGATTAACAGGCTTCTGCCCAATTTGAAGAGTTAATTCAATCACTGAATCAGGTGTGTTGGAGCTGGAAAACCTCTAAAACATGCAGGATAGCGGCCCTCGAGGACTGGAGTTTGACACCCCTGCTCTAAAACATGCAGGATAGCGGCCCTCGAGGACTGGAGTTTGACACCCCTGATCTACAGTATTGTGATTTTTGTGGGTTAAGCCTGAGTGATGATGTACTAGAGTCTCTGGTGGAGGCTCTTTGTCTATTTTGACCATCACAGTAGTTCCATTGTTGGTGGCTCCGTGGTCCCCACAAAGTTCACTCACAACAAATACAAATATGTTCCTTTGTTCTCCAGGGGTAGATTAATCCAAAAAGCCCAAGCCATACTTCAAGATTTACCTCAGGGCTTAACTAATCTGCAGGGCTATTTGTTTGCCACTTCCATAACTAAACAGTTTAGTTTGTTGCATAATTGTCCAAGTTCAAAGTTTCCTTCGAAACCCATTTCTTTTTCTCCATTAAGGTTGAGTCATAACTGACTGTCAGATACTGTTGTCTCTTTTCCATTGCTGGCCACAGTGTGTGTGTCTGTCGGGAGATTTTGTGCCGTGTACTGGGTCTCAGTGTCACTGCGGGGGATGCTTTCAGGACGTGATCCAGACCCTTTGCCACCTATTGTTAGGCTCTTCTGGAAGCTCTCTGAAGTGAAGTAGTAGACCACAGGATCCAGGCAGCAGTTGAGACTGGCCAAACACAGGGTGATGGGGTAAAGTGTTCGGGCGAAGCGTTCCACGGTGCAGTTAGCCAAGGCCTGGGTTCGCACAAGAGCATACAAAAAGAGCAAGAAGTTATACGGTACGAAGCAAACAATAAAAATGGTCAGATGCACCACAATCATCCGCAGGACACGTTTCTTGCTGTCACATCCGTGACCAACAGTCACTGGGCGACTCAACGTCCGTAGAACCAATGAGGAACATACTAAATTAGCCAAAAGAGGGAAGAGAAAACCCACAATCTGAAAAAAAGACAAAGACATTAAATAAGAGTTGAATCTTGTTGACTAAGACACCATACAATCGATGCATGCAATCATGGGGGAAAGAAATACCCCACTCTTACAATTCCCAGGTTTTACATATCAGGACATTTGTTTTTAACAAATTGATCTTTACCAGGTTCTAAAATTATTAAAATCTAACCCCAACTGTACAAAAACTCATAACAGATTCCACCATGTTGTTACAGAAACAAAGCCAAAATTGGAAAACTGTGTGGGAAAAACAACTGATCCATCTTTATTTAACGAGTTAACTCCCTTTGAGATAGATCTTCTTTTCAAGGACTGAAGGGAATCTAAACATGAAGGTTTTGCAATAAAGCCTAATTTATGGTTCGTGAGACATCAGAAGTTGTGTTTTGCTGACAAAATGCACACTTTCCTACTTGGACCTCCCACTGTGACCCCACCTTGTGCATTCCCCCCAATCAGAATTAGTCTCTCAAAGGATATGTGTCAGGGTTTGTGTCAATGAAAATGTGACTGGCAGAACTTTGTGAGCGGGTTTGTTTATAAAAAGTGGCTGCAGTACACTAATCTCATCTCAGCTCTGCTGAGTGCATTACAACTGTTCCAGCAAAAATGATGAAGGTAAAAAAAAAGTCACTGATGATGAAGAAATTAAGAAACCAACATTCAGTTCTGTTTTCTACTGAAGTGGCTAAAATATGATAAAGGTAGTTGAATAAAACATATAAGTACTATTTTTGTGCATGGAGGAGACTGTAGCTCTCCATGGCTGTGTTGACCAAGAGAAAGTGCCACGCCAAGTGACTGTGTGTCTCGGCTGGACAGCTTAGATGAATGATCCCACACTGTCTGGTGGAAATGGTGATAGTCTGTTTGTGACAAATAAATGTCACTTCCCAACAACATAAATACCAGATCTAACTCCTGCAACTCCTCCATCATCAATGTAAAAGAAAAAAAATCATTCTGCCATCTGTGCTGTCTGTGTAGTTTCTGTTATGACTTGTCTATAAGAAAAAACATTTTAAATGATGTCAGCAAGATCTGACGTCTTAAATCTTATTGAAATATAGAGAGCCCTTATGTTCAATCCATGATTTAGCAGCTGTAAAAAAAATTTCAGCAGCAACTTCAATTGTTTTCTATATTTCTTTATTATTTTCTTGTAGAGGATTTCTGTCAACTCCTTCTTACAACATGGCTTCAGTTCAGTGCGGTTTGTGGGCATGTGTTTATTCATGGCTCCCTTAATGTTTCATTAATCCAACCGGATTGAGGTCTGGATTTAGACTGGATCACTGCAAAACCTAAATAGCATTTTCTTGCAGCCATTACAAGGCCAGACTGATTCTGGCACATCCAGATCACCCATTTAATGAGTTCCGGTTGCTTCTGTCAACCTTTCTTTTTGTGACTATGACACAAATTGCCTCTCGGGATAATACAGATGCTTGAACCTGGACTTCTGCTGTAGATTTGCTGCTGTGTTTTGTTTTGCCACCATGCTTAACATTCGGTATGAGGTGTTTGTGCTGATATGCTGTGTTTGGTGCTGTGCATTATGGGTAGACATACATACTTCAGTTCATATGTTAAAATAAACACCGTTCCAAAAGTCCTTTGTAAAATTGTGATGCCATATTCATTTTAGAAAGAAGTCTCTCCTGCAAACTAAATAAATAATATTTGTTCAGCCTTTTTCTATCAGTCCATGAATGTTAACCTTTAACCCAATTTCTTAGTCTGTAGAGTCTGAAATGGGGCACAAGATCTGACCTTGGGGTGCATTTTCTGTGACATCCTGTCCTGGAAATTTTGGCAACTGTTGTATGTTTCCCACTTGTGAATCATCTTTCTTGCTGTTAAAGGATGAACTCTTAATTTTATGGAAACAATCTTGTAGATCTTTCCAGAATGTTTGGCAGCTATTTTAACTTACAGGTTGCTGATGATGTCAAACCTCCTTGACTTTGTATTAACACACACACTTGTATGCTCCACACCAGTAAACAGTCCAAATCTCCTGCTTTTATGGCATTTTATATGGTAGTTAAATTTACAGATCAATCAGTAAAGCAGGACTTGGACAATAGTTTCCCTTTTTAAATCCTATGGAGGGGTGGGCTTAGATTTCCAAGCTACTTTTCCATTTTGTTTATCGTTTAATAAATAATTACATGGTGAACTATATTGTGTACTTTGTTCACTTGAAGTTAGATTTGAGCAACTTTAGAACCTAGTAAAGACCAGATCAGTTCTGTTATGTCCTGATAAAACCCTAGAAACAAAAGAGTAAAAGAGTGGACTTCCCTTTTCTCCATGATTTTGTGTTAAAGCTGTTTGTTTACCTCAATGAAGATGGTGATTTTAGACAGATAGGTCTTCCAAGTTTTTTTGGAAAAGCCTTCAAAGCATGTAGTAGCTCTGTGTTTGCTGTTGATGGTAGAGAAGAAAGTCACTGATATTCCTCCACCCACGATGGTCAGCCATACAGCAGCACAGACCATCGCTGCATTCCTGCGAGTGCGGATGGTGCGTGAACGGAACGGGTACACTATTGCGAGGAAGCGATCTACATTGATGCAGGTGAGAAAAAGCATGCTGCCATAGATGTTAGTGATGAAGGCTGTTCCTGAAACCTTGCACAGCCCATCTCCAAAAGGCCAGTTTCGATTCACATTGTAGAAGACCTTGAAAGGCAGCGTAAAAACAAAAACTAAATCTGACAATGCTAAGTTAGTCATGAACATTGTGGTCTCGTTGCGCATCTTCATCCGGAAGCAGAACACAAAGAGGGCAGCACAATTGGTTACCAGGCCCAAGATAAAGACCACACTGTACACAGAAGCGTACAGGTCGTACTTAAAGGAGTCATCAATCCCACAATCCTCCATTCCAGTTTCGTTGATCACCAGGCTGGCCATACTGATGGTTTCAGACGGTGTGGGGTCTTCACAAAAAAAGGGGGGAGGGGCACACAAATGTATTCAGGAAGCAGGAGTCAGAGCGGAAATCTGGACATCTGAAGTGTCAGCAGGGGCCTCTCCAGTCAAGCCCCCTCATCGTAAAGCCTCACACAAGCAAACGGAGGCAGACGCAGCCAGGATGCCGCTCGACGGATCAATTCTCCTGTGGAGAGAAAAGGAAAAAACACTCAGCCACTTCCTCATTGCAGTTATTTACTAAGAAACAAACAGCTTCCATTTTTCATACGGCACAGCATATATGTGTATAAGAACCAAGTGAAAATGTGCAGTGGTGTGAAAAAGTGTTTGCCCCCTTCCTGATTTTGTATTCATTTACATGTTTGTCAAACTTAAATGTTTCAGAACACCAAACAAATTTAAATATGAGACAAAGATAACACAAGTAAACACAGAATGCAGTTCATAAATGAATGTGTTTATCATTAAGGGGAAAAGAAATCCAAACACACAGGGACCTCTGTGAAAAAGCCCCCTAAACCTAATAACTGGTTGGGCCACCCTTAGCAGCATCAACTGCAATCAAGAGTTTGCAATAAGTGGCAATGAGTCTTTTACAGCACTGCAGAGCAATCTTGGCCCACTCCTCATCGCAGAATTGTTGTAATTCAGTCACATTCGAGGGTTTCTGAGCATGAAACTCCTTCTGAAGGTCACCACAGCATCTCACCCAGATTTAGTTCAGGGCCTTGATTAGGCCACTCCAAAGTCTAAAAGCAGGGGTGCCCATTCATTTTCCCCAAGAGGGCCAAAATGAAAATCTATCCGGGGCTGTGGACCAAAAGCAGTAATATAATACATGAAATTCAAATACTTTTTAAGTAAAGTCCTTTATTTTTAACGATTAAGCTAGCAGCCCACTAGTGGCCCACTTTTGTTTTAGTCTGTGCACTTGGAGAAAGTCTGCCATACGCTCAAGTAGCAAAGGCTCATGGGATATTTTTTAATTGATAAAACATGAGCTTTGTAGCCTTATAAAGAGTGCAAATCTACATATGTGGTTAAGTCTGATCTAAATCTTGTTGTTACTTGAATTTCACATTTCCTGTTTGATCATAATACAGCATATCAAAGATAAAGTCTGCACCATGAGTGAAAACTATCTGCACTACAGCCACTTTTATAGTCACTGGGTCAATGGATGAAAAGACTAAGTGGATCTGTGTTTCTACATAGTATGACAGGTTACAGCCTAATAACTATGTTAACCGCTGGTGGCCCAAATCAAATGGCTCGGCAGGGCAAATTTGGCCCGCGGGCCCCACTTTGGGCATCTCTGTCAAAGTGATCCACAATTATTTGTAACATTAGACTTTTGATAAACATTTATTTAAACTGCAAAATAAAGTCTGTAAAAATATTGTAGGCTGTTTAGCTTTTATGATTTTTTAACAGAATTATTAACACACAAAGCATTCTGGGTAAATGATGACGTTGTCTTGGTCATCAGTGCAAGGCTGCGAGCTAGCTATGTCCACCCTGAGGGTTAATTTTGGACAATATCTGACGATTGGCTCTTTTAAATGAAACCAGAGTGTTGACAGGGAGGAATATGTAGAAACGACTCAGCCTGCAACTGAAAATGAGGACCTCAGTTTGGCTTGTTAGCTTTCGCACTGGTGTGCTTTTGATCATTTTCCTGCAGCAGAATCAGATTTAAGTGTTATAAACGTAAAAGAATCATGCTCAACTTTTAATAACACATTTAAACGCAAGTTGAAAATAATAAAGCACTGTTACTAAGTCTACACCTATCTGTATTTCAATTAGTAGTATATTTATACAGCAAACAACTTATAAGGAGTACAACCTACAGATATACAGTGAATCATCTAAGGACTCTGCTATTCTCACATTACTGATAGTTACCACACAGTGACGGGGTGCAGCATCACATCAGAACACTACATAAAAAGTTTCTGAAAATTTGAACTCACAAGCACATATCTGGGCGAGCAACTTTAAGAGGCTGTTTGGATGGAAATCATAAAAGCTGAAGGTAAAACTCTAGTCACAACATGATTAAAAAAACAGTCAGAGTTAAACAATCTCTGTTGCAACAAGCTGAATCGTGATCTCTCTCTACCATATGGTTTACCTCAATGGTCTCACACTATTTTTATTGTTAAATGATCATTTATGCATCAAAGGGTTTGATGTACAACAATACGTTTTAGTGTGCAGTTTGTGTTGCCACACTAACTACACATGAACACCTGATTCGGCTGAGCAGATGATCTCATTGTTGAGCTCAGCTGATAACAGTTCTTTGATTTGACTCAGAATTTTTTACAGCAGTTAAACATCAAAAACATTCGGGGCAGGTGCTTTAAAGACAGGGGTATTTGCTACATCTGAGTTTTCATACACTGAAGCGAGATTCTCTGAAGATTTTATGTGCTACAAGAGCTATTTCAAATCAGGTGGTTTTTGCAGTGAAAATGCTGCTCAGGGTTGTAGACTAACACTTAACTAGATCAAACGTTGCTGCCACCATGAAGAGCTCTGCTACACAAAAAATACATTAGTTTAGTTACAGTATTACAACAATATTATGCAATAGTACACATAACCAGGTGTTTGGTTGTAGGATGTCAGGCATATAGCTTACTGTAAGGAATATGTTGAGCATGTGTTGAGTTAAAGTGTTTATCACATTTCAATAATAAATTTAGATTTTGTTTTGTGCTCACCAAACTGTCTTTGAATTTTAATGTAATAATAATAATGATGTGTTCAGTTCTTTATATTATTATAAATGCTTGCAATTTCTCTAAATTGGTATGTTTAGAATTATGCTAATATTGATATGAGTTCTGCCCTGCTTTGTTAAAATATATATGTATAT